GCGGGCCTTCGCCGTGGTGGGGGGGGGGGTGTTGGGGGGGTTCGACTCCCGGGCCAGGCGGGGTCGCTCCGGGTCTCTGGGGAGGGGAGGGGGCGTTGCTTTGGCCGACTCCCCTCCACACCCCCAAAGGCTTTTGCCCCTTTGCTGGCCCGGAAAGGGAGAAGGGACCCTCTCTGTGGTTGTCTCTGAGGCTCTGGGTCAGGAGCCAGAATGGCCTTGAGAAATTAGTAAGAAGGGGGTCATCCTCATGCGGGGAGGGACCCTCGGGGGTCATCCAGCCGAGCCCTTGTCAAGGAGGGCCCCCCCCGAGGGGGGAGGGGGTTGGAAGGACAGGTCGAAGGGGCCGAGGGAGGGAGGGAGGAAAGGGAGAAGAGTCTCCATACGGAGAAGAGGCCGAGGCGAGAGAGGGGCCTTCCCCGGCCCTCAGCACCCTCCCTCCCTGTCTTGGACTCCGGCGCTCACCTCTCTGCCCTGCCCCGACCCCGCCCTTCTCCCTCCCTCCCCGCCAGGCGCCATCATGTCGCTTTCCCACCTGTACGGCAAGAAGGATGCTGCCGCCATCGACGATGACGTGGAGATGGAGAACTTTGAGATCACCGACTGGGACCTCCAGAACGAGTTCAACCCCAACCGGCAGCGCCACTGGCAGACCAAGGAGGAAGCCACCTACGGCATGTGGGCTGAGCACGACTCGGATGACGAGAGGCCCAGCTTCGGGGGCAAGCGGTACGGGCAACCCTCTCTGTGCGAATGGCCCTCCCATCCTTCTGATGCAGGAGCCTGTGCTGAAATATTCTGTGGCCCTGTTTTCAAGCTTGGGATAAAAGTGCAAACAAGTCTGGCCAGGCAGCCCCATTTGGGGGAAACGTTGTCCGATTGTGGTGATGAGGGATAAAAACTAGGCATGGGTTTGTCACTGAAATTGAACACGGCAGCCTCTGATGTTGAGACATTTGAAGTAAATGTTAGCACTTAATTTGATTAGAAAAGGATGATTGGGCTCATTTTTGTAGATTGCAGGGGCACCACGGATTCATTTGTTTGCTTTTTAAAAATTTGCCCAGGTCTCGAGATTACTCTGCACCTGTAAACTTTATCAGCGCGGGGCTGAAAAAGCCGGCAGGTGACGAGATTGAAGAGGAGGATTCTGACGAGGACGAGAAGCCTGCAAAACAAGAGGAACCCGCCAAAGAGTTTGTCCCCAAAAAGTTAAAGACGGTGAGTTTGGCTATAAATGTGTGTTCTTGGTGCTGCCGGAACCTCTGAAAGCACATCATCAAGTGTCAGTTGTACTTAAAAAAGCCTCTTTGTGTGTGTAGTGGAGGGGTTCACGGCGAAAAATGGTGGGAGATTTAGGAGGAATAAGGGGAAGCATCTCTTCACAGGTGGGACTACTAAGCTGTGGGATGCACTGCCACTGGATACAGAGGTGGCTGCCAGCCTGGATGTCTTTAAAGGGCGTTGGACAAATTCATAGAGGTTAGAGTTACTCAGGGCTACTCATCAGGACAGCTGTGTATCAGCCCTCAGTACCAGTGGGATGAATCAGTTGTTTGGGAGCACAAGACAAGAGGGTGGAGTTGCTCTCCTGTCCTGCTTGAGACTTTCCCACTGGGACGTCTGGTGGGGCACCCTGTGAACTGGATCTAGAACTAGAGGGGCTTTTGGTCTCACCCAGCCCTAGTCTCTTTTTTGAGTTTTCAAGATAAGAGCGTTTTGCTGGTGTTTAATATGTGCACAGTCTCCGTTATAAACGCCACAGCTAATGGCTGAACTGTCTATTTGCTCGAGTTGTCAGTGTAGCAAACCCAGGTGAACCAAGCTGTTGTTATCATTGACAGGGTGGCAATTTTAAACCCAGCCAGAAGGGCTTCATCGGTGGGACCAAGTCCTTCATGGACTTTGGCAGCTGGGAGCGACACACCAAGGGAATCGGACAGAAGCTTCTCCAGAAGATGGGCTACGTGCCTGGCCGAGGCCTCGGAAAGAATGCTCAAGGTGAGGACGCCCCTCCTTTCTCACAGTGGGGCAAGTGCTTGCGGGAATCCCAAGGAGGGTGTCTTTCTCTTTCTTTTGTGAGCAGAATTTGTACATGACATTCTTAGGGCAATAGCGGAAGATGCAAACCACGTATCCAACCAAGGATGCCACAGATATGGAAGTTCCAAAACGGAATATAAATCCATTTTTTAGAACCAGTGAGTGCACTGGAACAAAAAGGGAGTGATAGTCACTACTTATTTAAGTCTTATTAAATGGAGGAGGTCTGCTGCAGTTAAGGTTAAAATTGGGCTTAGCCCCGAACACACGGGCAGTCTACAATTGGCCAGGCCCTTGGCAGATGTAAAAGCAGGCCTGGCTCGAGGCTCTTCCACCTGAGAGGTGCAGTCGTTGCCAGTCCTTTCTAGGCTGGGAAGGGCACACATTTTTGACAAGGGCTGTCAGAGGCGGAGCGTCTCAGGTGCCACTCTGGGCCTCAGGCGTCCTCCCGCTGGCTGACGGTTGCCATATTTCCTAGGCATCATCAACCCCATCGAGGCCAAGCAGAGGAAGGGCAAGGCGGCCATCGGGGCCTACGGCTCGGAGCGAACCACCCAGTCCTTGCAGGACTTCCCTGTGGTCGACTCAGACGAAGAAGCGGAAGAGGTGCGACCTCCACTCCCTCTCCTCGGGGTCTCGGGGCTCCCCAGGCCTGCTGCAAAAGAGCGGCTTGGGAAACAGGGCCAGGCCTGCCGTGTGCACCTGCGGGGGAACCAGGTGGCCAGGGACAGCCCCTGCTTGACTCCGCTGCAGTCGGGGAGGGGGAAAGAAGGATGCACTTTGCCAAGGGCGTATCCGGTCTGTGCACAGTCTGGCTCCGTCTCAGGTGTACCCCCTTCTTCCCCCACCCCACCCCCAGGAATTCCAGAAGGAGCTCAGCCAGTGGCGAAAAGACCCAAGTGGGGGCAAGAAGAAGCCAAAATACACCTACAAGACTGTGGAAGAGCTGAAGGCCAAGGGCAGGGCGGGGAAGCAGTTGGCAGCGCCTCAGAAGGAACTGGCGCAAGTGAAGGTGAGGCTGAGGTCCTCCGTTCAGGCTGGGTTCTTCCTGGGGGAGGGCTCTAGGGAGCACCTTCCAACTGGCTTTTAACTGGCCCCTCCTTCCTAGTGAGCGAGCGCAGGGGGAACCAGGGCCCCAGCTGGGGATGGGATCAGTAAACGTCTGAACTGACCCTTTTAAAGGGTTTTTTCCACATGGTATTGGTTTGGGTTTGTGACATAATTGACAACACAGGCTGTTGCATTTCTTTCATGGTATTCTATCCATACCTGCCGCTTGGAAGCCTGCGAGCACAGTTTCCGATCTTAACCGTGGATACATCCAAAGGCGAATGGCAAGGGCAGAGGGCTTTTGGGAAGCATATTCCCAGTGGGACTGCCCAGTCAGAATACCCGTAGATGGAACAGAGGGGCAGAAAATACAAAGGGTGGCGCCAGCTCTGCTGTTTACTTTATCTGTTCCAATTCTGCTTTGGGGGGGCGGATCTGGGGTGAAGGGTGGGGTCCTGCTGTGTCCCCCTCCTGGGTTTTCAATGCTGGGCGCTGTCCCTGGTCTGGCAGGTGATCGACATGACCGGCCGTGAGCAGAAGGTCTACTACAGCTACAGCCAGATCAGCCAGAAGCACAACATTCCCGACGACAGCCCGCAGCAGCCGCCGGTGCCGGGGCTGCTGGGCAAAGAGGCCAAGGCGCAGGCTTTCGCCCTGCCCGAACTGGAGCACAACCTGCAGCTTCTCATCGACCTGACGGAGCAGGAGATCATCCAGAATGACCGGCAGCTCCAGTACGAGCGGGACATGGTCGTCAACCTGACCCATGAGATTGAGAAGATGGCCGAGGTCCTGGCCCGCGAGGAGGCCGACGTCCGCAACCTCAGCAAGGTGCTGGAGCTGGTGGAGGAGTGCGAGCGGCGGATGCGGCCCGACTGCCCGGACCCTCTTACCCTGCTGGAGTGCGCCAGGATCTTTGAGACCCTCCAGGACAAGTATTATGAGGAGTACCGCATGTCGGACCGCGTGGACCTGGCGGTGGCCATTGTCTTCCCTCTCGTCAAGGACTACTTCAAGAACTGGGATCCCCTGAAGGTGAGGGAGGGGCTGGAAGGATTTGGACCCGCCGTGCGGGCTCGAGGCTCACTTTGTTCGGCACATGGAAGTCCCCGGGTTTGGCCTCCCCTTGGCTTGACTTCCACCCACTTTTCTGCCTGTGAGACTCTGATCTTCCTCTTTCAGTGCCTCCGGGGCCAGTTCTGTCCCCCATTCTTCTTGGATCTCCCAAGTGCCAGGGCGACTTGCGCTTGAGAGAGCCATTCAGTCCCTGCTCCTCCCTGTTTTGCACTCAGGCCCTTGTGCACATGATACCCATTTTCTCTCTCTCGGACTTTACCCCGCCCCTCTAGACCATGTCCACATGATACCCATTTTCTCTCTCTCGGCTTGTCTTCCCTCCAGGACTGCACGTATGGCACAGAAATCCTTGCCAAGTGGAAGACTTTGCTGGAAAATGACCAGCTGCTGTCACACGGCGGGCAGGATCTTGCTTCAGACGCTTTTCACAGGTGAAGAAGGGCCTTCCGTGTGCTCTCCAGGGAAAAGCGTGGGCTTCAAAATACGGAGCAGTCCCTTGCCTTATAAAGACCGATGCTTGGAAATAGAACTCTCAGAATCACCACCCAATGTGGCTCATGGGAGCTGTAGTCCAACCCATTCAAAAAAAAAGCTTTCCAAGCTTTGCGTAATGCTTTTAGCTCTGAGAGTAATACAGTGGGTGATTTGCTTTTTTGGACGGGGGGGGGAAGTGTTTATTTTTTTCAGTAAATTACATTTCTATTTTGCTTTTCCAGCTAGCTTTCAAAGCAGCGAGCATCAATGCAAAAAGCAAAATAAATGATAAAACCCTTAGAATTATCCCTGAAAACAAAGTAAACAACAAGAACTGTATCAGTCATGAAATATTTCAGAACAGTGTAAAAGGCTAGTCTGAAGAGATGTGCCTTCACAGCCTTCCTGAAAGTCCCAAGACTGGGAAGTGTCATCCCAAAGCACACCTGGGTGGCCCCCTTTTCCCTTCTCACTCCTGCTAGAGTAGCCGTGTGTGTTTTTCCCTTCTCACTCCTGCTAGAGTAGCCATGAGTGTTGTGTGGATGTGGCCTGCTGCACCCCTCACGTTGTGGCTTTCTACACCGTCTTCCCAACAGGCTGATGTGGGAGGTGTGGATGCCCTGCGTGAGGAGCGTGGTGGCCCAGTGGCAGCCCCGGAACTGCATCCCCATGGTGGACTTCCTCGACAGCTGGAGTCACATCATCCCCGTGTGGGTCCTGGACAACATCCTGGACCAGCTGGTCTTCCCCAAGCTGCAGAAGGAGGTAGACCCGGGTGTTCTTCTCCAGGGACGCCAGATTGCCTGGTGCCGTGAAAGGGCGGTTCTCCTCTCTTCCAGACATGGCGGTGGCAGGAAGCCCAGATGCCCTGGAGGAGCAGCAGCTGGGGAGAAGCCCCAGCCTGGCAAGAGGGAGGGAGAGAGGGAGGGGGGTGACCAAACTCTGCCCGCCCCTCCTCCACCTGCCTAGAGGCCGAGACGTACCTTTGGGCCTGAGCCCTTGCTGCTGCCCCTGAGCCCTTGCGTCTGCTCCTGTTCCCAGGTGGAGAGCTGGAACCCCCTGACAGACACGGTGCCCATCCACTCGTGGATCCACCCGTGGCTGCCCCTGATGCAGGTCCGGCTGGAGCCCCTCTACTCGCCCATCCGCAACAAGCTCTCCAACGCCCTCCAGAAGTGGCACCCCAGCGACGCCTCCGCCAAGCTCATCCTGCAGCCCTGGAAGGAGGTCTTCACCCCAGGCTCCTGGGAGGCTTTCATGGTCAAGAACATTGTGCCGAAACTGGGTAAGCCCCTGGAGGCCCGGCAGGGGCGGGTAGGTGGGAGGGAAGCGGCTGCTCTGCGCCGAGGGAAAGAACCGCCTAGGTCGCACCGACAGAGTTTGTACAGCATGCACACAGAGAGGGGGGGTGCTTTGCTCAGCGACAGAGTTTGTACAGCATGCACACAGAGGGGGGGGTGCTTTGCTCAGAGCAATGAGAGAGAGAGAGAGAGAGGCTTGCCACAAGCTCCCTTCTAAGGCACCTTCTCCTGTTCTGTCTCCTTCCCCTTCGCCAGGCTTGTGTCTCAACGAGCTGATCATCAACCCTCACCAGCAGCACATGGACGCCTTTTTCTGGGTGATGGACTGGGAAGGCATGATCTCCGTCTCCAGCCTGGTGGGGCTCCTGGAGAAACACTTCTTCCCCAAGTGGCTGCAGGTAGGGGACAAGGGGTGCGTGTGTGTGGGGGGGGGGCGTGTTGTACAGAGTTTCCATTTTGGAATGGTTCACTGGGACACTTTTTTTCTTAGTCCTTCCCTCCTTCAGCCAAGCTGGCCAGAACCCAGCTGGGCTCATTCCCCAGAATCTCATGGACCCACTTGCTGTATCAGTGCATATTTTCTGTTGGCAGGAATCGCTGGGGGAGAGAGATGGGGGTTGGGAGGAGCACCTTTTAACCCGTGGTCCAGTTGGTCCCTCTCAGCATACTCGGGTTCTGTGAGCTTAGAAGGACGTTTCGGGTTAGGGTGACCTGTTCCTTCAGGTGGGGCCTCGTTTTGCCTTAGGACTCATCTCTTGATCAGAAATGCAGCCCAGGAGCTTTTAAGGCCTCCCTGCCCCATGCATTTCCCCCCCCCCTTTGTGCTAGTCTTCCCCAGGGGCAGGGCAGAACGCATAGCACCCATGTGCCGTTGTGGCTGGTGACCCGCCTCTGCTCCCCCCCCGCAGGTGCTGTGTTCCTGGCTGAGCAACGTTCACTGGGACACTTTTTTTCTTAGTCCTTCCCTCCTTCAGCCAAGCTGGCCAGAACCCAGCTGGGCTCATTCCCCAGAATCTCATGGACCCACTTGCTGTATCAGTGCATATTTTCTGTTGGCAGGAATCGCTGGGGGAGAGAGATGGGGGTTGGGAGGAGCACCTTTTAACCCGTGGTCCAGTTGGTCCCTCTCAGCATACTCGGGTTCTGTGAGCTTAGAAGGACGTTTCGGGTTAGGGTGACCTGTTCCTTGGGGCGGGGCCTCGTTTTGCCTTAGGACTCATCTCTTGATCAGAAATGAAGCCCAGGAGCTTTTAGGGCCTCCCTGCCCCATGCATCCCCCCCCCATTGTACTGGTCTTCCCCAGGGGCAGGACAGAACGCATAGCACCCTTGTGCCGTTGTGGCTGGTGACCCTCCTCCACTCCACACCCCCCGCAGGTGCTGTGTTCCTGGCTGAGCAACAACCCCAATTACGAGGAGATAACCAAGTGGTACCTGGGCTGGAAGTCCATGTTCTCGGACCAGGTGCTGGCCCACCCCTCCATCAAGGAGAAGTTCAACGAAGCTCTGGACATCATGAACCGAGCAGTCTCTTCGAGCGTCGGTGGGTGAGCAATGGCTGGTGTGGACAAACAGGCTCCCTCTGTCTCTTTATTGGAGTTTGTCAGCATACAGAGCAGCATCTGCTGCCTACAAACAGTGTAATATCAGGGTCATTCACAGAAGGAGCAGCTTGACAACGATGCCAGTAGAGAAGCCAAAGCATCTGAGGAAAAGAAAGGGAGGACCTGACTCTATTTGAATTCTAGAAGAATCCCCGGCACGGTTGATAGGAGACACGAGGATTCTTGTGTCATGCTTGTCTGGAGTTTCCACTTGTTCCCCCAGGAGGCTTGTAAAGGGGGAGGGGGGGAGGGGGGAGGGAGTGCTTGAACATACGAGTTCTGAGGAGTTGATAGGAGACACGAGGATTCTTGTGTCATGCTTGTCTGGAGTTTCCACTTGTTCCCCCAGGAGGCTTGTAAAGGGGGAGGGTGGGAGGGGGGAGGGAGTCCTTGAACATAGAGTTCTGGGCTGCCCACTTTTAGCCCAAGGGTCGCTGGCACAGGCTGGGGTTGCTGGGAAGGAAGAGGCCAAAAGCGATGAGAGGGCTGGGCTTCTTCATCCTTGCCCCGGCTCACATTCCTTGCTGGTTCCCTCTGGAAGTCAGTCGTCCTGCCCTGGTTGCTGACATCTCACAAGTTCTGTTTTGGAATGCATCGGTGGAGACTCTCAGGACAGATCCTGGCTGCTTTCTGCACCCCTTTTCTTACTGGCTTCGTCCGCTGCCTGTCCCTATAGGCCCATGTCCGTCCGTTCCCCCCCCCAACTCCCTCTGGGGGCCACCTGCTCACGACCCCCCTCCTTTCCCTTCCCTTCCCAGGTGGCTACATGCAGCCCGGTGCCCGGGAGAACATTGCCTACCTGACGCACACAGAGCGGCGGAAGGACTTCCAGTACGAGGCCATGCAGGAGCGCCGGGAGGCTGAGAACATGGCCCAGCGGGGGATCGGCATGGCCGCCGGCTCCGTGCCCATGAACTTCAAGGACCTCATCCAGACCAAGGCCGAGGAGCACAACATCGTCTTCATGCCGGTCATTGGCAAGCGGCACGAGGGGAAGCAGCTGTACACCTTTGGCCGCATTGTCATCTACATTGACCGGGGGGTGGTCTTCGTGCAGGGCGAAAAGACCTGGGTCCCCACCTCCCTCCAGAGCCTGATCGATATGGCCAAGTGAGGGGGGGGCAGGCGCTGTCACCTCGTTGGCAAGGACCTGGGAGGTGGGCAGGATATGTCCCACTGGGCAAGGCTCTGGGAGGCCAAAACAGCCCTCCTCCCCCCCCCGCCCCTCTCCCCGACTTGAGATGACGCCAGCTGGACCCGATTCCTGGACCGAGAGGAGTCCTCACGGAAACAAGAGCTGCTCCTGCCTAGGGGTCCGGATGCTGGGACGTGAATGGCAGAACCACGTTAACACCACTGAAAAGCAAAGAGCCAGGCGCGCTGGCTCAGAACAAAGGATCCGAGTCTGGGCGACGCATCGCCTTGCTAGACTTGCCGTTTGTCCAGCAGAGACACTTGTGGCTCTTCAGGAAAAAACCGAGTCAAATGTCAGTTCATGCCACAGCTGAATAAAAGCCTCTCTGTGCTGCCTTCTGATTCTTTCTCTTGGAAGGCTGAGCTCTGCTGGGAAAAGAGAGCCGCTCTTAGTGAGCCCCGACAGGGACTGAGGGTGTTCAAGACCCGACCCTTGCGAGAGGCCTGGCGCAGGCAAGAGTCAAGCAGGCGGGTGCGGAACTGGGAAAAGAAAAAGGGTCTTTTTTTCCCCAGACATCCATGCTCCCGGTGCAAAAAAAGAGTAACTTTTTCCAAGATGTGGGCCGGCTCCCCATTGTTTCTGGAGTATCAGCTTGGAAAGAGGGAGTGGGTTAATGCAGAGAGGTCTGAAGCCACAGGGGGAGAGAGGCCACTTCTGTCCACCCTCCTCTTTCCCTCCGGGGCCACACAGTGCCTCTCAAGGCCCTCAGCAGGCGCAGGATTTTAACTGTAGATTTTAATGGTTGTTTTAAACTTGTTTATGCACAATATATTGTGAGCCGCCCTGAGTAGACTTCTGTCCAGAAGGGTGGGATAAAAATCCAATAACAAATAAAATAAATAAATAAATAAATAAATAAAGGAGGTTAACAGAGACCTCGCACAACCCCACTGTTTTATGCCCCTGCACAGCTTGCCTTCAGCGACGGCCCTACCCTGGCCCTTGGGGGGGGGGCAACCCCTGATCATCTGATCTTGCCAAGGATTTGTCTAATCTCCTCTTAATCTGTCTGAGTCTCTCAGTTTCTGCTCGTTTGTGTAAAGAACGGTTTCCTCTTCGCTCTCTGGAGTCTCCCGCTGTCCAGCTTCCTCAGCTGACCCCAGGGGCCAGCGCTTCCAGAGGAGGTTAAAATAATAAACCACCACCACGCCACTTTCTCTACATTGGGCCCCTCTCTGCCATGTGCCACACACACACACACGCTGCCATTTGCTTTGCCAATGATCAAATGGCCCTGTTTCATCATTGTGGCTGCCCTTTTCTAGCTCTGCACTACCCTTTCAGGTATTAAGTGATTGGAACAACATTTCATATTCTGACCGCAATTGCACCGTGGGTTGGCAGGAAATCAAAAGCTGTGGGTGCATTTTTATCTGGTTCCACTGATAAAGGAGGCTGTAGACCAGGCGAGGAAGTAACAGCTACATATGAGAAGATTAAGATGACAGCAAGAGGCGGCTCTTTTTATTAAACCATCCTAAACCTTTAAGGTCTACAGAGACACTTTTATAACTGATGAAAGCTGCTCTTGGTAGCTGCTGTAATCTTTGAAAACACACCGGAGTGTGAACGGCTATGCTGCCTTGGGAGGAAGGCGGGAGCCCATGCCTGCTGGACAACTCGGCCTCTTCCTCCTCCTCCTCCTGCCTCTCTCACAGAAGGAGGGAAGGTTGGCCTCCCTGAAGGGGAGCAGAGAGTGATGGAGGGGCAGCGCTCGTGCTCAGCCCCCTGGTGGGGCTTCCAGCCTCCGGGGATCGGAAAAAACAGTGAAGAGAGTCTCAGAAGCTCCGCTTTGCCTCACGCAAGGGCCACCTGTTGCCCCAGAGCCATTTTGCTGGAACTCCATTCAAGGCTTGGCCACAAAGAACAGGCCATGTGGCTAGTCCTCAGTTTATGGGGGGGGGTGGTGTCTTTGACTGTGAGGTCACCACTGCAGCTCTGCAAAACCAGACACGATTCAAGCCGTGCTCCCCCAAGGGAAGGAATCCACATGCAGGACTTCAGCTGCTGCCTGTCCGGAGAGGCAGTTAACGTCACCTTTTATTCTGGATGATCTCTAGTTGATCGCCCTCCGGGTAGAAAGGCTCCTCCTGGCACTCCCAGATCTCCCGAGGAAGGGCCCTCAGCTTGTTTAGCAGAAAGCAGTGGACGGAGGTGTCGTTAAACACCTCCAGGTATTGCGGGTGGGAAGGGAGGGCGGCTTCCCTGGTGGCTTCTAAAATCTAGGAACCATGAAGAAGAGAAAGGCAGGGGTGAGCGTCCCCATCAGATGCAAGTTAGCCGCTCAACATGCGCTTTTCTTTAAGCAGCAAAGCCCTACCTTTGCAATGTAAGGATATTCCTGTTGCAGAATCTTGGCTGGTACCCTAGAAGCCAAGTTGTGGGGAGGGGGGGAGGAGAAAGAGAGAGAAACAAATGGGGGGGGAGAAAGAGAGAGAGAGAAACAAACAATGTTACAGAACTTGTGGGTGCTGGGAGAAGATTTAACTGCTGTCTCGGGGAGAGAACCCAGAGGTGCCTTCTGGGCCAGCCCAGCCATTGTTAAGCGGCACCAGAAACAGACGAGGTTCACAGAAGTTCTGAGCCCATCAGCATGTGGGGAAGGAGCTTGATTTTCAAAAGCTGAGAGGGATTTAAGAGGGCAAGGAGGAACCAAGGATCGGGGGGGGGGGGGGATTCCAGATTGGCCGCGAAATGGTTTTTTGGGATGGGGGGTTCCCGCACCTTTCTTCCATGCCTCGGAAGCTGTTGCCCACAATGACCATCCTGGGGAGGGCCTCGAGGGACCAGTTCCGCCAGAGCAGGTTGTTGTACAGAGCTTTCCCACAGTGGATCATGTAGAAGAGGGTGGGGGCACAGACGGCCCGCTTGCCTTCCTGGAGGAAAAGACAACAGGCCAAGAGGTGGGCGGTTAGGACCGTGGGCTGGCACCCAGCCGCCACCCGGCCGCGTTTGGCACCCAGCCTGCACCGTGATGGTGTAAAGGGAATTCTTTCTGGGGATCCGGGACCTCCTTTGCAAAGCGATTCTCCAGCATGACTGCTGGCCGTGTTTTCCTTTAAAAGCCACTCCTTGGGCAGATGGTGGCTGCTTCTTTTTGTTGTTGCTTTTCTTCTTGACTTAAGAAAAAATGATTAGATGTGGGTAAATAGCATAGAACTGGGGGTCCTTTAACTTCCTGTCCATCCCCATGATTCCCCCATTAACTTGACCAGCAAAGTCACTTTGTTCTCCGGCTTGTGGTGCTTTTGAAGTGTGACTTTGCTGTCTCGTCACCGACCAGAAAGGCTGTCGGAAACAGCTCAAGTGGCCGCCCCCTGAACGGCTCTGTGCCGCTTTAGCAGCTCTGGATCCTGGCCTTCTTCAGCCGCTGCTGGTGATCACCCCTTTGTGATGTTCTGACCGCTGGCCATTTCTCGTAGGCAAACTCTGACCGAGGGATTTATTCCTCGCCTCCCACCTCTCACCTCGTTTTCCAGGAGCACCGTAAGGCCGAGACTGTTCAGGACTTTGATTTCCAACTCTGAAAAGACCGGGTCAAAGATGTGGCAGCATCGGTGGGGAATCTGCAAGGGGAGGAAGAGAGACAGGCTAATTATCCGCTGCATCACGCTTGCCAGCTTCACCCACCGCTCGCTCAACCCCCCCTCCCCTCACCTGGAGCTCCTGCAACAAGAGCAGCAGGAAAGCCAGCTGGTAGCGCGCCTTGACGCAGGAGGAGAAGTTCCCGAGGCCGTAACACACGCACTGCAAGGCCCCAGCTCCGCTCCTCTTGGGTCCTTTCTGCAGCAGGGAGCTGGGTTCGAGGGCCCTCCCGGCTGGAGCCACGACCTGCAGGTCCTGAAAGGCAGCGAGGGTTTCCTGCATCTCAGCCTCCGAGGCGGCCTCTGGCCCAGCTGGCCGGCGGTTCCCGAGGGAATTGAGGATGGTTCCTGGGAGGGAAGAAAGAGGTCTGGGAGCAGGGGCTTCTCCTTCTCCTTGCCCCCCCCCGCCCCTGGAAGGCCTCTCGCCTTAAGCCTGAAGCTTCCCTCTCTCTCTTTTTTTGGCAGGAAAGGCCAGACTTACTGAGGCTGGAATCCCAAAACTCGGAGTCTCGCAGGGCTGAGCTGCAAGAGAAAGAACCGGGAGGCAGAGAGAGAGAGAGAAGGGCCGGCTGATGAAAGGGGTGGATTTGCTGCAGGGGGGGGGACACTTCGCCCCAGGCCTCGTTTCAAATAACTCTTGGGGGAGTTGCCACATGGCAGCAAAACAGCATCCCTGAGCACGTGCAGAGCACGCATCCTAGGGTGGTTAGGCAACCACTGCCACCCCAAGCCGCCTGAG